GATTCCTAAAATCACAAATTGGTCAAAGATGAAATTTGCTTTACCAAAACCACAATAACCCTAACATTAATTTTCCTTCAATTCACTCAGAGCTGATGTCTAATGCATGCTGAGCTTTATAACTCATGCTGAGTTTGATATTTTAAAGTGGGCCCGTTCAGAAGCTGAGGTAGTGTTTTTGTAAAGGGCGGTTCCCAACAGATCGCCAAGAGAAAGTCTCTCATATGGAGTGCATCTGGCTTCGACACTAGAACAGATCTGAGATCTTTTTTTCGGTTGCTGAGGCCTTGTGAGTGATGCAGAAAGATCTCAGATAAACCCCTAGAAGAAAACAAGCCTTTTTTTTTTGCCATGTTTTTTTTTGTACTCCAGTTTTTCATTTCCTCCTGTGCTGTTATGGCCGGCTCCACCCAGGAAGTGAGACAATTAGTCTGGTCAAATGTATGATGCAGAAAGGAAGTGATCTCATTAGTGTGGAGCTGAATAGTTAGGGTGTGACTTTCTGTGGTTCTATCCAAACTCTTAGTCAATGTGTAAGTGAGTGTTGATTGGGCTGATGGAGAAGCTGGAATGTTCTCACTGTTAACGGCAAGCTATGAGAAAATTCTGGCTCACCTATTTGATACGACCACTAGAGAAGCAAACATCGTCAGTGCCTCTGGAATTTCTCCATTTTCATCCAACTCACCGATGCTGAGCTTTCCCCTTATGTTGAAATATAACGTCTGAGGCCACATTCTTAGAGCAACAGAATACGGTTGGTCATCATCATAAAACTGACAGAAGCAAGTCTGTGGAGGGAAAAGACTGGATGTAAATTTTCAGGTCACGCACAGCTCATATCTGCATCTGGGGGTGTGTGTTATGAAACACAACTGTACTTGGCATGACAAATGACAAAACCCATAATAAATGTGGTACAGTCTCAGATATTAAACTGATGCTTCATTCAGTTAATAACTTTAAAAATTCCTTCATTTGGCAAGCACTTATCCAAAGAAACTTACACTCACAGGCCACTTTATTAGGTACACCTTACAAGTACCAGGTTGGACCTCCTTTTGCCTTCTGTACTGCCTTAATCCTTTGTGGCATGGATTCAACAAGGTGCTGGAAATATTCCTCAGAGATTGTGGTCCATATTGACATGATAGCATTATGCAGTTATTGCAGATTTGTCAACTGCACATCCAAGATGAGAATATCTTGTTCCATCACATTCTAAAGGTGCTCTATTTGATTGAGGTCTGATGACTGTGGAGGCCATTTGAGTACAGTGAACTCATTGTCATGTTTAAGAAACCAGTCTAAGATGATACACGCTTTATGACATGGTGGGTTATCCTGCTGGAAGTAGCCATGGACATGGTCAGCAACAATTCTCAAGTTGTCTGTGGCATTGACACGATGCTCAATTGGTACTAATGGGCCTAAAGTGTGCCAAGAAAAAATCCCCCACACCATTACACCACCAACACTAGCCTGAACCATTTATACAAGGCAGGATGGATTCATGCTTTCATGCTGTTGACGCCAAATTCTGACCCTACCATCCAAATGTCACAGCAGAAGACTCATCAGACCAGGCAACGTTATTCCAGATCTTCTATTGTTCAATTTTGGTGAGCCTGTGTAAACTGTAGCCTCAGTTTCCTGACAGGAGCGGCACCTGGTAAGGTCTTGTGTTGCTTTAGTTCATCTACCACAAGGTTGGACGTGTTGTGCATTCAGAGATGCTCTTCTGTGTAACATGAAATTAGCTCATTTTATGAATATTAATAATCAACAGTAACGGTTTATTCTTAATTATTAATATTCCGGCTTAAGCTTCAGTCAATTTGGTCAAACAAACATATGATTGTATATGATCATGCTCGCGCGACCGAGCGGATTCCCAGATTATGAATATTAATTATCAACAATAACGAATTATTATTAATCATTAATATTCCGGATCAATTTATTGTTAATTTGACCAAACAAACACAAGCAGAGCCGCCGCTTATCCGAGCGGACACGGTAATCTATTCATTTAGAAAAAGGGAATTTAATTGCTACTTCTTGTGAAGTAGATTAATCATTCAAAAGTTTTAAACAACTTATAATAGCTAGGCAGGGGTATCTGTATTTCAGTGACATTTTCTAGTGAGGCAAACAATACAATTTATTTGATTATAATGGAATTTATTGACTAGTCAGACGTAACGAACAAACAAACGCACAAACATACATTAAACACAGAACAAAGGTAAACCACGTGGAGATATCGGGTCTATACGGGACTATAAAACATGTACGAACAGAGAGAGATAGCAAAGCGTGGAAATATAGATTTCAGGTAAATCTATACCCGAGTGACAAAGCTGTCAGTTCCACACGCACCATTAAGGATCACCAAGATTAAAGAAAAACACCTTTTGATAAAAGGGGCACAGCTTAATCGCACAACTAAAATCACCTGGTCTTTCATGTCTGGAGGTCTCTCTTATGCATCTCTCTTCCGTCGTGATGAAAACTCCTTTTGATGTCCTTCTTGATGCGTGGAGTTTGTAATGCAGTTCTGACGAACACGATCGCAAACTTTAAACTGAGTTTACTTTTGCCGGAAAATAAAGAAAACGTGGCGGGAAAGTCCATGCGGTGTAGATAAACCGCGTGGCCCGAAGGCCACCTCTTTGATGTTCTTTGTTCGGACGCTTTTTCTTTCTGCTCAGATGTTTGGCAAAAGGTCTGGTTATACCTGCGGGTCACGTGACAACCCGTTCAGCATTCTGACCAATGGTTTCAGTACAAAGTTCGAGCGGAAACCCTTCCTTTGTCTCGAGGCTGCTCGTATGCAAATTTGAGTGTCCGCCTAAAGCATGCGGACAGGCATTTAATACAGGGCTTTAAAGAATAAAGCAATGCGAGTTATGGTCTTGCTCTATGCATCATGTGTTGTAAAATGTTAGCAGAAACCCATCGGTACCAAACATGGGGGGTTTCAAAGTACATCAACATAATTTTTCATATCCTTCCAATATTTATGCTTTACAAAGGCCTAAAGGGAACATGCATACAGGTTATAAGAGAGGTTACACAGGTAAGAAAAGTCAGAAATGAGATACAAAGTTTACAAAACATACTGTAACACCTTAGTTTTGTGCTGGTTCAGGATTTGATGAGTTTATTTTCTTTCTGTCGGAACAGCCTCGTGGTTGTGTGTGTGTGTGTGTGTGTGTGTGTGTATTTAAGCAGGAATGTCTTTGAAGTGACAGACCTATCTCTCCAGGCTCCCTAGATTACTTAAGCTGTCACAAAAATCCAGACTTCTTGGAGCCAGGAGTCGTAAAACCCTTCTGTCGACCAAAGCCAGACCGTGATAAAATCAATAAGAAATTTTATCTGTGGACTGTACGCTACATCTGCGTACCTTGGTTGTAATGAGTGTATTTGGGTTACTGTTGCCTTTACATGGTTTGCTCGAACCAGTCTGGCCATTTTCTTCTGATCTCTGGCATCAACAAGGCATTTGTGCCCACAGAACTTCCGCTCACTGGACATTTTCTCTTTTTCGGACCATTCTCTGTAAATCCTAGAAATGGTTAAGCGTGAAAATCCCAGTAGATCAGCAGTTTCTGAAATACACCAGCCTGTCTCACACTAAAAACCACCCTACATTCAAAGTAACTTAAATCCCCTTTCTTCCACATTCTGATGCTCGGTTTGAACTGCAGCAGATCGTCTTGACCATGTCTACATGCTTAAATGCACTGTTGCTGCCATGTGATTGGCTGATTAGAAATTTGTGTAAACGAGCAGTTGGACAGGTGTACCTAATAAAATGGCAGATGAATGTATATCTATTTTCAGGTACGTTATTTTTTTTTAAAAATAGTGCCATGCTATACTATTTGTTATACAACATTTAGAAAAATCTGAATAACACACAATATTAAAAAAAATCAAACATTGCAATATTTTGTTAGTCTGTGGTATATATTAGTGACATGAAAACAATTTTACCAGATGTCTCGAATATCTCTATTTAGAAAGAATTTATCATTTTTGATTGTTTAGGGGGGTTCTGTAGGGGAGGGAATCTGCATAAAATCTTACAAATGAAATAAAATCAAAGATAAATAAAATAAAGAAAAGTTACCAAAAACAAAACAAAAGTGTTTTATCGTTTTCTTTGTCTAACAGTATTAAGGTACAGTAATTGAATAGTAAAAATAAAAATAATCATTAATAAAGTTACTAACAGTACAATTTCTTATGCCTGAATGCTTTTAAAATCCTTATACAGCGAGTCATGGGCCTCAAAAACACATGCAAATGTAATCCAGACTCAACATTGCAAATTCTGCTATATGACTACTGCGAATGATCGCATAGCGATATATTCATTCATTCATTCATTTTCTTGTCGGCTTAGTCTCTTTATTAATCCGGGGTCGCCACAGTGGAATGAACCACCAACTTATCCAGTAAGTTTTTACGCAGCAGATGCCCTTCCAGCTGCAACCCCTCTCTGGGAAACATCCACACACATTTACACACAATTTAGCCTATGATATGATTTCAAACATCTTACATCAAACATCTGAAAACATGAACTCAACAGAATAGTGCACAGTATTTTACAGGTCATAATATTATTTATCATTATAAAATTCTGCCTCTGACTTCAATTACTTTCAATAATGGTTATACATGGCTGCTTAAAGAACATTCAAAGAATCTTCTATTCCACAAAATAATCTTTATAGTAAGCATTCTTTAAATGTCCTTTAGATTTTTTAAATATTCTTAGTTTAATGGAGATTTTATTCCAATATTGAGCACTAAAGTTGCAGGTTTCCAATCACCCCAAAAAAATACAAGTTTGACATTAAGGGTTCATGGTAACCTTCTGTGTGTATAGAATATTTCTAGAGCTTATGTCAGTTTCAAAAACGAATGTCAATAAAATCTGGATTTCAAGATTTGTAAGAGGCTTTTTATTGTTCTTATACTAGGTCCGACGACGCCACCAACAAGTTTGGAAACGACTTCAGAACCAAAACCATCAGAAACATCTCCTCCAGTAGCATCAACACAAACACCAGTTTCTGAAACTACAGAAAAAATGCCTGTCATGACTGCAGGAGTACCAGCAGCTTCCACAGCTCCACAAGTGACACAAACAGAACCTGCAGCCTCAACAGCAGCAGCAGCAGAATCAACAAAAGCTGGAACTGAAGTAAAAAACGACACTGAAGCCACAATTGGAGCCGCAACTGATCATGTTGTAGGGACGACAGATGAAGATGGCAAGGAATCACCGTCACCAGTAAATATAGTGGACGAAGAAGGTCAGCTGGAGAGAGATGGAGTATGACATTTTGAGGATGGAGTAATGTATAAGATTTTGACATGAAATGTGGTGATTTTCCTCATTTCAGGAATGGGCACTGGACAGGTGGTGGGGATTGTAATCGGCGCATTGATTGGAGTAATTGTTGTCATCGCTATAATCATCCTGGTTGTCAGAAGAATGGGCCAGTACTCGTGAGTACAACTACTAAACAACACTTACATTTCTTACAGTTCAAAATCTATATATACTGACAGTTGGGTAATTATATTCACCCCCTATTTCAAACCAATAAAATGTTCTGAAGTCTGTGGCTACAATTTTGGGGAAAAATTTTCTCTCTCCATTTAATGAAAGTAAAATTTGTTCTTTTCACAATGGGGTCCTAAAGGCATAGTTTACCTTACAATGAAGATTATGACATCATTTTCATTCCCTTTAGTTGTTTGTCAAACACACACACACACACACAGTGGCTACAAGATTTCAAAATTTATATATATATATATAAAATTTGGAATCTTGTAGCCACTGACTTTAATTATATACTGTATTTAACTATGGAAGTCAATAGGCCAAGCCAAGTCTGCTTTGGGCAAATCATAAAGTTCTGCTGCTTTTAATTTTACAATCCTTTTATAACTGTAGGATGGGCTTGACAAACCACCTATAGCAGTGGTTCTCAAACTTTTTGATTGTACAATAAAGAAACAAATCTAGCTCCATAAGTACCACATCAAAAAAATAAATAAAAATAAAAATTGTCTTTCCAGATACCACCATAATGACCAGTATTAAAATACAGTAGTGTAGGCCTAATTAAGAAGCTACAGCACACCGTAGTTTAAAAACTAGGCAGATTAATTCTTATTATAATGAATATTTATTATTGTCAGCCACTTTAAACATTATAAATAGTTTGAACATTAACACTGTACTTTGCTTACAGGTAAAAATAAATAAAACGTCAATGTTTAAATTATAGTGTGCTTTTAAAAGTTTATTGAAAATGACGGATGTTCTTAAAAAGTAAAACGAAAACTACTGTACTTAAATGTAAAGTATTATCAGCCTATTCATTAAAACCTGGAAATGTTCCTTGGACCTCATAAATATAAGATAAAATGTAATCATATTCATATATAAACTCTTTTTGATAAATTTTGATCTTTGAAATCTAAACATTAACTTGTGTTTTAGATATATGAATTGGATCTATATATTTAAATTACAAATTAGATCTGCTTTCTGCACGTTAGAGTAGTCTATTTGTGTCAGAAAAGCAAGTGATTAAACTATACCTGTCAACATTGGGATATAAAAATACGGGATACGCTCCCAACAACCGTTACAAATGTGGGGAGGAAATTAGCTTCAAATGATAGAATACATAACAAACATTATAAAAAAAGTTTAACCTATTGAAATCAATTTCCTGATCACATTGGTGTTATTGTACGCATCGAAGGGTAAAAGTGTGTTCATTTTTTTTATTTGAATTATTCAGCCATTATTTCGCCTAGCACTAGAAGGAAGCCTGCATGTCACTAGTGGTACACGTACCACAGTTTGAGAACCACTGACCTATAGAATACATTCTTCTTTTGCGCCAGGCATTTTTGTCTATATATATATATATATATATATATATATATATATATATATATATATATATATATATATATATATATATATTATAATGTCCGCCCTATAAGGAACACTTTAACTTTTCTTATTTTGATTGTAATGCAATAATGTGCACCATTTGTAAAGCTGCTTTGAAACAATAATTATTGTGAAAAGCACTATAGAAACATACTTATTCTGATTTTATGTAAACAGAAGAACGTATCACCACTATCGCTTTGTTTTCCATTCATTAGTACTGCAATGAAGTATACTGTACTAATAACTACAGTAGCCTAGTAGTACTAATTATTATACATCTTGTGCTTGTATAAAAAAATAGAAAACTTTTGACAGATAGTAAAAACAAAGCACTTCAGGTGGATAAAGAAAAGTGTGTTCATCTTAAATATATTTTCTGATGATTGATACACAAAGGTCCCACAATCCCAATTCTATTTTTTTTTTAATTGGAGTATTTACAAACATAGTACAAGAGAATACATCTCACAACAGTTATGAACATAATAAAAATGAATAAAATGAAATAAATTATTTCAGTTATACAAAGTATAAACAGATGCCAGGGGCCTAATTCTATTTTTGTACCACTACCCCTTTCCCTTGGCTCTTACAACCGAGGGTTAAGGGGATGGGCTTCAAAATGTACCCCTAAGAATTTGGACAGCACTCCAGCACCTGTACACATCATCATATGTCCTCGCTTCATATGAGATCAGACGATCGGGACTGCTGGAGTGATTTCAGTTGTGTTATTTTTTGGTATTTATCTTCAGGAGATCACTGAAGGTTATGTTATCATAACCATATAATTTGGCAATAAGATCGTAACTGTACTGTGCATTTACACAGTGGCCATACTCATCAATGTAAACACACAAAATCAGCATTAACATTATAGCTGACACTGTAAAAAGCTCATTTACAGCCACTAGACTTTTCTGACAGGGTATTCCAGTGTCATCGAGTGTTAGAAAGTTGTGGAACAGCTGTAACGTTACACAAGTTATGATTAGGGATTATACATCGCGAATAGATCACGAAATTTAGAGGTCTTTATTTTAGCGTTTTGAAGAATATATTAAAACGTGTTTGTTTGTTGTAAAAATTTGTAATAATGACAAAAAATACTAATTTGTGGATCTCCTTACTTCCGGGTGCAGCTGTTGCTGGGGTATTCTGGAAATTTTTTCTTACCCCTTGGTTTCAAGTGTGGTCCTGTAAAGTCTTCGTTTGAAGTGGTGTATACTCCTTGCCCTAAGCCCTACGCCTCCAAGCTAAAGAGAATTGGGACATCACTACCCCTTCACGGGCATGCGCAAAACGAGGGGTAGGGGTAAGGGCTAAAGGCTGATTTATACTTCTGCGTCAAACGCTACAGCGCAGACGCATAGCCCTTCGCCGTGGCCGTCGGCGTCACTGACGTGCACCTCTCAAAAAATGTAACTACACATCGCAACGACGCGTAGCGCAAGCTCTGTGATTGGTCGGCTTGGTAGCGCTGACTAGTCTGGGCGGGACCGAGAGCCGCGCGAATGGCGCGAGCTGGGTGCGAGCCCAATGGAGCGATTGTTTACAAGTGTGGAGTCCCGTGAAGGAGCTCCGGATGGAAAGTTTTGTTTTGTGTTTACCTCATAGTTAAAGTTGTTGCTCGTCCGCCGGTTCCAGCCTCAAAATGAGCGAGTTAGAGCCACTTGTACATCCAGGAAGTGTTCAGGAAAAGCAAAACAGCAGCGAAGAAACTCGACACACAGGAACATTTACACCTCACTGGGAAGTGTAATGCAGTGTTCCGGAAGTGTAATGCAGACCAACAAAGACAGCGCGCAGAAGTGTAAATGCACTGCTATGGGCGTTGCATGCACCGATGGTTACGCCGGTCACTTGACGCAGAAGTATAAACCAGGCCTAAAGCCTCCACACTTGTAAACAATCGCTCCATCAGGCTTGCACTATTCACGCGGCTCTCGGTCCCGCTCAGATTCGTCATCGCTACCAAGCCGACCAATCACAGAGCTTGCGCTACGCGTCGTTGCGACGTGTAGTTACATTTTTTGAGAGGCACATGTCAGCGTCTGCATCAGTTTGACGCAGAAGTATAAATCAGCCTTAAGGGGTAGAATTGGGATTGGGCCAAATTTTAGCCCTGTAATTTGTTTCTAGTAGCCTAGTAGTAAAGCCTGGTTTATACTTCTGTGTCAAACTGATGCAGACGCTGACATTCCACGGTGAAGGGCTATGCGTCAATGCCGTAGCATACGCCGGCGTTTGTCGCAGAAGTATAAATCAGCCTTAAGCCGAAATATTGTAAGACTTTTATTATTATTTAAAAAGAAAACTAAATCATTTCAGTTTAAAATAAAAAAATCTGTGTTCATTTCACAATTATAAATTCATAAACATCATAAAGCTAATGTTTACCACCCTCATTAATAATAATGACAATTTAAAAAAAAACATTTCTTTCTTCAGATTTTCAATATTTCAAAGAAAATGTCTCACTGTTTTTTTGTGAAAGAAATGTCAACTGTTTATAATATAATGTATTGATAACATTGTGTCTTCTTTGGCAGTGAAATTTTGCATGCTAATAGTAAGTGGTTTCTATGTTTGTAGGCCTGCAAAGAAACGAAAGCCTCAAAAACAAGACAGCATCTTGATCTCTGTAACTGTGTTTCTGATTCAAAGATAATCCACATTAATCACTGTAACCCATTCATTCATTCATTCGTTCATTCATTCATTTTCTTTTCAACTTTGTCTCTTTATTAATCTGGGGTCGCCACAGCAGACTGAACGGCCCACTGTAACCCAGTTGCTTAAAATTTTTTTAAATTTATCTTAGCCTGACAAAACTGAGTTGCTGCTCTAAGTATTTTTTAATCAAAATGTTAAATATCAGAGGAAAAACTCAACTGAACCGCATCAAATATTAGAATGCCATTCAGGATGCCATAATGTGATGCAAATCGTACTAAATTATACGATTCATACGAATTAGCCACTAAATCAAAAAGTTACAAATTGCCGTGAGATTGTGTTGCATAAGATTGTTAAGCTGAAGAATCAACAGTAAAGGTGGAGTGGCAATCCAGTGCTGTTCATGCTGTTTAATTTGTAGTACTAACAGGTTTTTAAAAAAAGTATAGAGCCAAAATAACTGAACTTAAAAAAATTTTAAAAAGTGTGAATCAGAATCAATAATTAATCAAACTCAGCAATACACTCTAAAAAATGTTTATTTAAATTTTTGTCTTGTTTTCACAAAAAATATCTCAATTATTTAACCACAATATATAATTAACTTATAGTATTATAATTTATGTGTTGTTTAAAAAACAACAACCAAAAACAACTTATGATCACAGATTTATAAATATAATATATAAATACATTTAAATTTGTTCTCACATTTTACCAAATTATAGCTTCATTGTAATAATTCATTCCTTTTTCTTAGGACAGATAACAGATTCAGTTTTTTTGTGGCCATGACTAAAGTGAAATTAATAAACAATTACTAAATCATGGCTATGATGTACTAAATTGAGAGAACAAATCCTTACATTTGGGAGATAAAATCAGAATTTGAATTTTCTGAACGTCACTATTGTGTAAAAATAGCCATTATTTAAAAAAGAAAGATTACTTTTTCCCTACTATTCTAAAATACAGTTAATCATGTCTTTAAGCACAGATGTAGACCACTTTTGGATACTTTTTGTTTCTTAAAGGAACACTCCAGTTAAAAAAACAAACAATTTGACTTATTTTGAAAACAGGCTGATTTTACAACTTTGCTTTTGTTAAATAGTTGAATTTTACCATCTTTGAACCCAATCAGCTGATCTCTGGGTCTGGCAGAAGAACTTTTAGCCTATATAGCACTAAATCATTTTGATCATTTTCCTATGCAAAAGCTTGTGTCTTCTTAATATAATGGTGCCTGCTGCAGCAATGGTATGGCAGCAAAGATCCTTGATTATTACGCTGGAATGAGAATATAGTTTCAAGCCACGTCAGCCTAAAAAATAGCAACTTTTTATTTTCTTAGTACACTGAAAAAAATATTCAAAGATGATTTTTGGGATTTACTAAATGTCATTATGTTAAGTAGTTGTAAACAATTTATTTGGGCTGAATTTTAATTGAACAAATTAAGTCAAATTTAATTTGTTTGTTTAAATTCAACACAACTAAATTGTTTAAAACAGTTTTGCAGACATTATTTTTTACAAGCTTTAAATAGAAAAATTATTGAAATTCTTTGGTCATTTTGAAGTGAGCTGCTAATGGTCTAATCTGATACAATGAACAATGCTAAGCTAAGCTAAAACTGCTCTCGGTGATTGGCTAAATGGATTCAAAAATGTAAAATACAAGTGTTTAATTCTAGGAGAATATCAAAATGAGCCTATTGCAAAATGTAGAGTGTTCCTTTAATTAAAAATATCTATAGATAAATCTAGATATTTGTAGTAGGAAACAAGACAAAAAAATTGTTAACCTATTAATATCTATTATAATGTTATATGTTTAAAGGATGTTTAATGTTCTGTTTAAAGGATTCAAAATAAGCTTGTTTCTGTTGCTGCTGTATTTGTGCTAAACAGCTTTGTTCTGTTTCCTTCTTTCCCAGCCCCTGAAAAGAAAGGCTCGACAGGAAGAGAAGAAGAAGAAATCCGGGAAGTTCTGAACTATTGTTCTAATGTTAAAAACAATGCAAGCAGCACTCTCACCATCCATCCAGGACATTAAAGGGAGCGGCACTGTGCCCCCATCCCATTTCCCCTTGAAAAAGATGCCCCCACAAAACACCTACAAACATCCTCTTATTTTGTCTGCGAAGTCTCATTTATTCTCCAAAGGTGGGAGCCCACAGTATCTTTAATAAAATAAAACAATAAAGTAACAGGAGATGAATGTTTTTATGAAGGGCTTAATAAACATAAACAAATTGTGCATGCAAGTAAATGCTTGTATGTGTGTATTTTATTACATTTCAATTGTAAATATCACACACACACACACACGAATACATATTGTCTTTATCTGCTTCAAATTTCTTTGTTTTTACCCCCTACAGATATGTCCAATAAGACTATGACGCATTATGTACAGTGTATGAACTGTTATAAGCAGATGCTTCGGATATTTCTGTTCTCAAGAAGAGTAATTGACAAGTCTAGCGGCATTAACTGATACATTGTGAACTATAAGGGAGCAGAACACATTAATGGCTTGAGATTTACTCTTTTGCAGTGTATTAACAGAGTGACCTGACTGTTTTGCTCTTAATTGTCACCCATTCCAAAAGTGACATCACTTCCTCTGGGATGCATTATTATGTGTTCCAGTCAGCTTAGCTCCAGCGTGCAGCTGCTATTGGCAAGTATTACTAAAATCCGGATCTTCCTCACAAAGCAAGCGTTTGCATGGTCTAGTTGTTTGCATTTCTTTTACTGTCAGTGGGGTTTGTGTTATTCACTGACATTCTTCAGTGTAACTCTCTATTTAGAGCTTAGCTTTAAGAGATCAGTAATAGGTGCACTGATGATAAATAAAATACATGTTTAATATTAAGAAGGGACTTCAGACACGGCGAGTGTTTGCAATGACATTTTGTGTGTATTTTTGCCAGATTCCTCTTTATACCCTGTTACGACATAATCTTGATTTCCCATCTGATGTCAGAATCCACTTAAAACCGAGTTTTTGTATTTTGGGGGTGTTGTTTTTTGTTCAGTTGGTTTCAATAAAAAAAGTTCCAAAGTATGTTGCATTGCCTTATTGTGTTGTTTTGTTACAGTGGATTTTGATAACATTGTCTGTTTATCTGTGTTTACTTTTCAACCCTTTTTACTCAGCCTTAGAGATTTTCACACACACAAATGTGTGCGTATACGCCCATGCACTGTCTCTTTCTCACACACACACAAACCCACACATTCCCTCTCCCTAATCCCTCAGGTTATAAAGACTGTAAAAGAAGGGACAGAGAGAATAAGAGATTAGCAGAGTCAATGAATGAAGGCATCTTTGTAAATATGAAGATGTTTTTAAGTGATCTCTCTAGTTGAAGAGGGGTAAACAACACGAGACCCAGACAGCCACCCCCAAAACGTATTTGGACAGTTAAAGTGAAGAGAAACTTTATACAAGCAAAAACACACAAAAATAACATTTTACAATTATATTTCTTCTTTAGTTTCACTTGTTTCTTTTCAAAAAGCCTGATAGTAAGAAGCCAGATCAGTCTCAAAAATAATACTTTTACAAAATTAGTTTTTTCATACATGCACAGCACAATTCACATTTACAAAATTTAAATCATGAGTATAAAACATAACATAATTTGTGAATACATAAGGTAAAATAGTAAATATTCACATCCAAACACACTCATTCACTACAGACAATTTTAGCTAACTCAATGCACCTATACCGCTTGTCTTTGGACTGTGGGGGAAACCGGAGCACCCGGAGAAAACCCACACGGACGCAGGGAGAACATGCAAACTCCACACAGAAATGCCAACTGACTCAGCCGAACCAGCGACCTTCTTGCTGTGAGGCGAAAGCACTACCTACTGTGCCACCATACTCGCCATCATGAACATTTCCCCAAATTAATTGGATGTATTTATGAATTTCGTCACGAATTTATGAACTCGAATTGTGTGTTTATAAAATGCGTCTTGAATTATTTAACTGGATTTGTACATTTGTACATTTGAATTGTCTCTTGAATTTATGAACTGGGTGGTGCGGTGGTCAACTGGCATTTCTGTGTGGAGTTTGCATGTCCTCCCTGTGTTCACGTGGGTTTCCTCCGGGTGTTCTGGTTTCCCCCACAAGTCTAAAGACAGGCGCTTTTAGGTGAATGGGATAAGCTAAAATTGTTCGTAGTCTATGTGTGTGTGGATGTTTTCCAGTGATGGGTTGCAGTTGGAAGGTCATCCGCTGTGTAAAAGATGGGCTGGATAAGTTGGCGGTTGATTCCGCTGTGGCGACCCCAGATTAATAAAGGGACTAAGCCGAAAAGAAAATGAATGAATGAATGAATTGTTTATAAATTGGATTTGTGCATATATAAATTGCATTTTTAATTTACAAATTGTTTTCTAATAATTAATTGTGCTGTCCATGTACTATGAATTTCATTTTTTCAATGTATTATTTTTGAGACTGATCTAGCTCCATATGATGGTTGTTACATAGATAGCTGATAGAATGTTGCAGAAATTTACTTTGTTAAAAAATTAACTTACAAAAAATTAAAATTCTGTGACTAATTACTCAAGCTCATGATGCTAAATGCCTATATTATATCTATCTATCTATCTATCTATCTATCTATCTATCTATCTATCTATCTATCTATCTATCTATCTATCTATCTATCTATCTATCTATCTATCATCTATCTATCTATCTATCTATCTATCTATCTATCTATCTATCTATCTATCTATCTATCATCTATCTATCTATCTATCTATCTATCTATCTATCTATCTATCTATCTATCTATCTATCTTTCTATCTATCTAATAAACGTTGGAAGCCCTCTAATCATGTAGAATTATGACAGCCACTAAGTGTGTGTGTGTGTGTGTGTGTGTGTGTGTGTGTGTGTGTGTGTGTGTTTGTGTGGGTGAGCATGTGTCTATGTGTTTGAATGTAGTTTTAGGCAGTAGCCCAGACACTCTCTCTCTAACTGTGAACAATGGACTCTTTTTAAATGGAGTCCCGCTCTGACGTCCTGCTCAGTCTGAGCTCTGTAACAGTGTGTTTGTGATACAATGATTTCTGTACATTCCAGACGAGAAGGGCACTTCCTGACCAGTAAAAGCCTTCATGTACTCTCACATGAACACACAGCAAAGACTTACGAGCGTCGAAACACACAAACCGATGTCTGCACATGCACTAAAATATGAACACACAACATTTTACATTTGCAGAAATGTAAATATATAATCTTAGTGGCTATTACAGGTGTAAGTATAGAGGTAGACTGAATAAATGCAGGATAAATGACAAAGAATGTGAGTGTGTGAGATTGTGCTCAAGGGAGGAGGGTTAAAACAGCAGCTTCATGTTTACTTCAGAGCTTAGTCCCACATAAGGGCGCACACACACACATGTGCAGCTTGTCAGTGTTTCACTCCCCATACAGGCCCTGAAAAACACTCTGGCTCTGATATATGTCTAGGGAGGGACTGTACATGGTACCAGTGAGAGACTGGACTCATCTGATATGCTAAGTGCTCTGTATGAGGTTCAACACACAACAATGACTTTTTTAATATTATCTTTTTTTTGTGATTAATATTTGATTGCTTTCTTTTTTTTAAAACCTTATTAATGTCTTCACTGACTAGTACTTTCAATAGTTTCTTAAAATTCTTTTACATATATAAGTACACTACTTGACAAAAGTCTTGTTGATCCCAGTTGTAAAAGCAACAAATATTAACTTGACTTCCAGTTGATCATTGGAAAAGTGGCAGAAGATAGATTTTTCTGATGAATCATCTGTTGAACTGCATCACACTCATCACAAATACTGCAGAAGACCTATTGGAACCCACATGGACCCAAGATTCTCATAGAAGACAAGACTTTTGTCTAAGTAAAGTCAGACCTCACTGCCCTAATTAAAAATAAAATAAGTGCAATCTAAAGGCCTTTGCCTTTCATATTAGCCACTTCTGATACCAAATGATCAACTAGAAGTCAAGTTATTATTTTTTGTTGCATACATATAAACTGAACATACACAGAACGTGTGTAATCGATTGTTTGTGTGTGTGTCAGTGCGCGTGATGTTAAAAGTCAACTGCATGTACAGTACATGAGAATCTGATGTCATAAGCTAGGCTGACATTTGAATTTATTGGACAGCTGAATGTTGTGTGTGAGTGGGTGTGTTACGAGTGTGTGTGTGTGTGTGTGTGTGTGTCAGGATGGAGGCTGTTCACATCTGGTGTTGTGTGATATGTAAGTCTTTCTCCCTTCCTTTTGTTAAGCACTTCTTTGTACCATGTAGACGGAACATGCATTGTGTATGTGTGGCACTAATTGCAGCTCAGAAGTGCCTATTGTTTATTTGTATGCGTGTGTGTGTGTGTGTGTGTGGGGGGGGGGGGGGGGGGTGTAAATGGTCAGTAGTTGGCACAAACAAGTATTTACTGCATAAGGTGTTATGTAGATTGTTTTGTGTGCATGTCTTAATACTTTACGGACACATTAAACACTTTAAAATGAATATGGGCAATTATGGTTCTTGTAGAGAACAGGTTATTAAAGGGGTGGTCCACTACGATATCATATTTTAAACTTTAGTTGATGTGTAATGTAGCTGTGTGAACATAAACAGCATCTCTGAATGTAAAAGTTCTAAATTTATTGCAAAGGGAGACCTTAGTTTTTACAGACTTAGCTTAGCAAAGCCTACAATGAACGATTTTTGGGGAAAACAAAAAAATACTTCTGGCCGGCCCTTGTGAGATCACAAAGGTTCTTTTACTGTGCACACACACTGCGCAGCTAAGGGCCATGGCCAGAGGCGCTGTAACGTAATAAATTGCAAACAATTTAGCTACAAATCATATTTATCAGTCAAACTGCTGTAAACACACACATACACACTTCATCAGAACGTTCGTGTCTCTCTATGTGTGCACGACTTTGCATTGATTGTCTTTAGGCAGCTTTTCCATGCGTTTCACATCTCAGATAATAAAGTCGCAAAAGATATGTGGATGATTCATATTACTTACACCTGCATATTCCAGATATTTGTGTAAGACGTTGTGTAACGCAATGAGTTAAAAAAAATACAGGAGAGCTCACCTAACTCGTGGTAGCACCAGAAAAATAAATCAAGGTTTACACAGGTCGCATCCCACATCTTGTTCTTAATTCTTCTGTCACGATATATTTCAGAAAATAACTTAATCCGAGCATCAGAGAAAAAGAAAATGAAAGTCCCGAGCACATGCGCTTGTTACAGAAAGTTCACACATTTACACACACACATAGACACACACAAAGAAGAGGGCTGCGTCCGAAACCGCCTACAACTCAATAGGTACTGCATTTGAATTTAAACGTACTACTCGCCCGTTAGAAAAGTACGTTCTATACAGTATGAACGTAAAAAGTATGAATGGAATTCGGACGTTCTACATCCGCTATTTTGTCATGGTCACGTGATCTACCTGCGTCAATTTCGTCACTTTACTCCCATTCATGAATTCACTCGCAGGGCATTATGGGATAACGCAGCATGCATGGGATGCGCACTCTAGAATCTCACCGGAAGTAGTAAGTCATCCGGGTACTTAGAAATCATAGAATTCGGACATACTACTTGGCTCGCATACTGATTTTAGCGTACTATATAGTATGGAAGTATGTGGTTTCGGACCTTAGAGGAGGTCTTTTAAAGGAGCCGCACCCCATTTTCACTCGTTACAGACACTTGTCAGATTTTATTTTAGAGAGCAGGCAGAAGGTTGACCGACTGTTTACAAAGCAGAAAAGCGCGTGCTTGTACGGGCGTGATGTGAAGCCGATCCGCGAATCGCAGCACATTATGATGATGACCAATTAGACTCACTTGAGGGCGGGCCTTTCAGAGAAACTAGGAAATATATCATATGTATATATGTCGTTTACATGTTAGCCGAGTAGTAGTGTATAATCAACGTGAGATTTGTGAAAAAATAACATGTTTTTCTTCATGTGAAAAATGAGTACACATT